GGTTACAGTTCTTTACAGACTTACAGCAGGGTCTGGAAAAAGATGCTTAAATACTCTGTACCTCTTATTAAAAAACCCAATAATAATGATAAGAAATGGCACTTTCCTTGCCAAGATAATGCAAAATCTGGACTATAATAATTTCACAGGCTTTTCAAGAAGGCATATCGAAAACTGAGAAAGCATGTTCAGAAATGAGCCTTCTATTCCTTGTTTTACGACCCAGTATTTGTTGCTGCAGATTTGTGTGGATTTCAATTTATTGAGGGCCCAACACTGGTTTCCATCCCATTCCATAAAGTGAGCAGTAGGTGGTTCTGGGGGGAATTGCTTTTAATGCTAAACAGTGCCTTGTCCCACAAATGGTCTCACTTCGCTTCTGATGGATATTAAGTCTGAAAAATCTTTCTACTGATTCATGAGCTCATCTGGACAGGTCTACTTGAGGAATCCAATGCCATTTTCTTAGATTAAGGGGAGGCAAAAATCAGGCCATATGCAAACATATAAAAATATAAAAGCCCTTAAACATTGCTAATTATCAGAATCTGGTTAATTCTGTATTTTTCCTCCTCAGAGCATTATTCCTCTCTGATATGGGGAGGCTCTCAGCAGTAGGGTAAATGTACTGAGGCTGAATCCAGAAATCCCTTGCCTTCAGGAGAAGTGTTTTGACTTACACTACTGCAGGACCTTTCCTAGCATGTCTTGTGTGGATTATTAAGTCTTTGCTTAACCACTGCACTTAAACTCTCTCATACAACTGGAAAGTTTCTGAGCCAGGGAGGGACTTAGCCAGCAGCTTAGTTTTATAAGAACAAGGCACTTGTTCTCAGGACTTTTCTGGAAGAGGCCTGTAGGGATGGTGACATGTGCTTTTCCTGTAACGTGTCGGCAGTGGGTGGCCTTGCTGGAAGTCACAGCTAGGGTTGGCCACTGCCCTTATGTCCTCCTTAACAGCTTGCACCGATTCTCCCCACTGCAGGCGATGGACTGGGGATCTGCAAAGATGACAGCTCACTCCCCCCGTGACCGCTGATGGAAGAGGCAGTGCCACAGGGACCTCCTTGGAGCATCATGTGGAGCTGACACTGGGTATCACTGTGGGCTGCTCTGAGAACATTTTGCACATGTGAGGCCTCCTCCACTGTTTGCAGGGAAGTACTTACGGCTCCGTGGTGAAAAAAAGGCAGATCTTTAGTGTGCCTTTTCCAACTTGGATGAATCAACATTTCTGTTTATATGGAATACTTATCAGATTTCTGTCTTATAATGTTCTTGTTGCTTTCTGAGGGGTAAGTTGTTTCCCTGTTACTTGCCTCTCTTTCCTACATATATAGAAAATCTGCGTAATTTTTAATGAGATGGAGGTTTTTTTTAAATTGTTTGTTCATGTCTTCTCAATGGGCATTTTTGGGATTGGATCATGAAATCTTAAGACATGTTATCTGTACCCAATCCCTCTACACCAAGGGGCACCATCCCTTCCATTCTCTTAAGGATCTGCAACTGTTAATGTCACGTTATTCTGGGCTTTAGGTGAAACACACTTATATTGTGAAACTTGGGCAGCAGTGGAAGGACAGGCAAGAGCCCAGCAAGGAAAGAAAGGCAACCGAATGCCTGATGAGGAAAAGGAGATAATAGGTAATTACCTAAGTGACTTCTGAGAGGGACTGGAAGAAATGTCTTCTCTGTTATCTTTTTTGAGTTACACAGAAGTTATGAAAAAACCTAGAAAGGCAAATCTTCTGATTCCCTTATTTGGAGATGAAACCTCAGCTTTTAGCACATGGAAAACAACCTTCTAGAACACTTTTGGTTTTATTCTCTGACATCTCTTTGCTATTGAGCAACAGGTTAGCTGCAATTTTCAGCATGGTATGTATGAAGAAAGCAGAATGATGTTACAGAAATTATTAATAACAGAAAAAAAATTATGTCACTGCCTTAATGCCAGAAGGAGTGCAGAAAATTCATTTTAATATGAAGCTCTGTAAACTGTACATGGCTATTAATCTCTATTTCCTGTAGACTAGGCTAAACTCTGAGCTCGTTATTCTCTTTGTATCTCATTTTGCTCCATCAGATTCTTACTGAGGCTTTGGCTTTATGTACTTATCATTATCTCCATTTTAAAAAGTATGTTGTAGCACATGCAGATACACACTAGCTTCTCTGGTAGCTGCAAAGCATGTAGGTATTTGCAAGTCTCATGTTGTTTTCATTTGTGCTGGACTTTTGCACAAATAAGCACATATAATAAGAAAGCTGCAGGACTTGTGCAGCACAGTGGATCCCCGGAGCTGGGGCAGGCAGGGACTGGCCATGTGCAGCTTCAGGGCTACACTGCAGCTCCACGCCAGAGCCTGCAGTTTCCTTCCCTTTCAACCAGATAAATAATCACTGTACCACACTGATGGCCTGTCTATCAAAACTGGGACTAGGAGATGCTTATTGGGAAAGCAAAGTCAAATTACCCATGCAGGCTTTGCTGCACAACTGCTGTTGTGTCTCCTGCCCATATGACCCTCCATGCACAGCACCCAGTTCTCATCCTACTCCCTCTCTGCCTCACATCTCTCCATCTCCCTCATCTCCTCATTTTTCCTAGAATCATTAAGATTAGAAAAGACCTCTAAGATCACGGAGTCCAAGGGTTAACCCTGCACCACCATGTTCACCACTAAACCATGGCCCTAAGTGCCACATCCACAGGCCTTTTGAACACTTTCAGGGATGGTGATTTCACCACTTCCCTGGGCAGCCTCTTTCAATGCCTGACCACACTTTCACTGCTGAAATTTTTCTTAATACCCAAGCTAAACCTCACCTGACACAATTTGAGGCCATTTCCTCTTTTCCTGTCACTTGTTACTTGGAAGAATAGACCAAACCCCACCAGTCTACACCCTCCTTTCAGGTAGTTGTAAAGAAGAATGAGGTCTCCCCTGAGCCTCCTCTTTTCCAGGCTAAAACCCCCTGTTTCTTCAGCATCTCCTCATGGGACTTGTGCTCCAGACCCTTCACCAGCTTCATTGCCCTTCTCTGAACTCGTCCTAGCACCTCAATGTTTTTCTTGAAGTGAGGGGCCCAAAACTGGACACAGTACTTGAGGTGTGGCCTCACCAGTCCTGAGTACAGGGGCATGGTCACTGCCCTTGTCCTGCTGGCCATGCTATTTCTGATAGAAAAAAATAAACTTTTGTCACTGGGCTGCCTGGTGAGCAGCCCTGCTGCAGCTGTGATGCTCTGTATCACACCCCTATACATGGGAACACTGGCAGATCCCAGGGAAGGTGCCCTCTTGCTGCTGCAGCCCAAGGACAGCCAGGCAAGGCCTGCTGACAGCCTGGGGCACAGGCAGAGCAAACGCCTTGGGGAGATGCATGGGGAAAACGATTTTCCACCTGCAAAAACTCCCAAGCAGCTTCTGATGCCCGAGGAGACATGAGACCACCATCTCCCCTCCGCACCAGCACTGCAACACCGGGTGTGCACACAGATGCATTCACACACAGAGTGAGGGTGTGCAGCACTAACCTTTTGGTCCTTTAATGCATACCTGACACCATAGGAACATCGGAACTCCCTCTCACCACCTGTAGAGCCCCCGCAGGCTGTTTCTAAGCCTTACCCAAATTTGGCCTTGGTTTTGCTCCTTTAGTGACAACAGGAAGACACACACTGTATAGCCAGAAAAATCTTCTATCAGAAACAACACATGGATGTGTGTTTGCTTTTCACTGACAGTGCTGAGCTGGGGCATCTTACACCTCCTGGATGAGAAACTGATGGGTTTTTAAAATTTTCTTCTGGACTATAGGACACAAGGTCAACTGTCTCCCTCTCTCTTTCCTCTATGAGCCCTGAAAGTGAAGTCAGAAGAGTGACCTTGGATTTCTATCTCTGGTGGCAAGAACAACACCTGCCTGAAAGTGAGATTAAAAAACCTGCACTGTAAGGATAAACAGGGTGCTCTTATAAAATTCTCAACATACAATAAACTGAGTTGTAAAATAGGTATTGATAAATCAGCAGGGCATCTTTTAAGTAACAGGAAGCTTATGAAATCACAGCACTTCGCTTCTTTGTTATTCTGTATCTTTTTCTTACTGTAAATCACTGCCACTGAGTTTAATAGGGCTTGCACAATATTGTAAGTATCTCTTAAGTAATATAATTGCTATTTGTGATCCCACTCATGCTTGAAAGATTTTTTTACTGGAGGGGAAAACGTCCATTTTCCAAGTGACTCATTTGCAATGAAAACTGAAAAAAAATCCCAACCCTGTTTGCAATGAAATTGATAAAAGGGGAAGGCATTTTTATGTGATGCATAGTGTATCAGCTGAGCATTTTGAACAGCATCTTTAAAATTCAGCACCATGTTGCTCATGGACACTGGGCCTGTCGATCACAGCTGATCCAGAGTTGCTGGAGCAGAAGTGTTTCTAGCCTGTGTTTTTCCAATAAACCCTTATATTGCACCTTTACATAACTGAAGTAGCTTTTCTGCTCAGGAGAAATGCCGTCTCAGATAGGTGTGGGTGCAGCAGAGACTTGACACGGCACAAGCTGCCACCCCCTGGCACAGAAGACTCCAGCCCAACACACGGTGCATGGGGCTGCATGTTTTTCCAACCCTTTAGCTCTTCTGCTGAGACTACCCGTGCTAGTGCCACCTGAGAGATGAGTTTTGGGAACTCATCTAAGTAAGCAGCAGGCACTCAGGCTTTAATGGAGCCAGTGAAGCACCACAGCACTGGCACCATTGGGCAACTAACGTTGCTGGAGACCTGACATGAGAGGGGACAGCCACTTCTGCTGATTCCATCCAGCAATTCACTAACCCCTAGCCCCCCCTCCCCAACAGGCTAACTTCTGTACAGCTTGTTAGAGAGGCTAGTATGTACAGATCAACCAAAGATGAGAAGTTTCCCCTCTGGTGGCAGAGGAGCGAGAGAAGAGAAAGAGATACGGACTATTGGTCCACTTACATCATTGGGAATAGTAAGTTCATGGGAACTGGTTGGAGTATTGGCATCCAGTCCTATTCAGGGGACAGAGGGAAAATGTTACGCCGGCTGTTTGCAAGAAGGGCAAGACACAACAAATGAAATCTTAAAGAAGGAAACATACAGAAAGAAGGAGAGAAAAAAAAAAGAAAAGAGAGGAGCAAAGAAAAATAGAGAACTGCTAGTGAAACAGAAAAGAAAGCAAAGGATGCAAACCTCAGAGGACTAATTTTAAATGAGTCTTATTTTAATTAACCTTTAACCCACCAAAGCAACAAATGTCACATGAGATTCCACAGGGTCATAAAAAGCTTCTAGAAAATGAAGGGCTTCCCCTAAAAATAGTTTCTGAAGTTTGTTCTAAACACATCAATTGACAAATTAACAGATGACTGAAATTTGACCTGTCTACCAGGAGTTCTAGAATATGGAAAATTAAAGTGGATGTCAAATGAACAATTCTAGCAGAGCAAAATACATAGATATGACAAATAAAAAGTAATAAATTAAAATAAGGTCGAGGAAATTAACCTAAGAAAATTTGGAAATTATATGTGGGATTAGTTGCCAAAGAAATGTTGGGAAGGGAAATTGTGGAAGGGAAATGGACAAAATAGTCTAAGCTGCATACATTTGTTTGTAAATTGGGTGGACAAAAGGAAAATGCTCAGGAGAAACGGAATTACTGCTCTAACACACAGTGACATTACAAAAACGTACATCTCACACATATAACCAGGAAAAGATTAAGGAGCAGCATGTTAATGACAAGAATAAGGAAAATACAAAGCTAGGAAAAGCAATTTAGTATTACTTATAGATATTTTATCAGATACATCATGAAGGAACAAAAGTATATTTTGGATGTCAGCTATCTTTTTCTTATTTTCTCTTTTTTTACTCTTTATTGCATTATCTGTAAAGACACGCCAAAAAACTAATTTCTAACTAGAAAAGATGGAAAATCAATACAGAAAAAGTGACTCACATTTTACTTCTGTTTACATTTGATTACGAGTTGCATATGCTTATTGTACCTTGAATATCAAACAATCAAGTTGCTCACAGAATTTGATGTATGTGATAAAATGTTATTTGCCATACAAAGTATGTACCAGTCCACAGGTACTTCTATTCTGCAAAGTTTTTAGATGCCAAGCATGTAAGTACAGTAAAAATGTTCAGTCTCAGGGTTAAGTGAATTCTCACTCTTTAATCAAGAATTCAGTCTCAGCTTTATTAAGTATGGAACAAATTTGCGGTCCTTAACTAAATTTCCATTGCATTTTGGAGCTGTATCTGCATTATCTAGTAGGAAGTGAGGCACTTGTCCCAGCAGTGATGAGGTCTTAAGATGCTCTTAAGACATTTGGCTCTACAGGAGTTCAAAGTTTCAGTATGCCATAATTTCTTTTAATCAATATGTCTGTGCCACGAATACAAACTGTTTTCCTATGTTCTCTTCTTGCTGAACCATGTTACCAAACTGGACAAGAAGTGTGCCCAAGCACTTCACTCAGAGCCAACTGGTACATACTGTATGGTCCATAATAACTTCACAAGGACTGAACAGAAGAAAGTCAGGGCTTTTAGCCAATTGCACAAATGAAGCAGTTGTGATTAATAAAAGTAACAAACAAAGCACATTTTAGTAATGATGAAAGGAACTGTAACAGAGGTATGGGAGGGAAGAAGAAGAGATTAATGTGTAAAAACAGAAGGATTGCTGGTCATTGACCACATTTATTATTAAAATGATGTAATGACCACGGGAAACAAAGCTGTTAAGAAGAAGGACATCCCCAGGGGGTCATGGGTACGTACCAGGGAAACCAGGGGTGGTCTGCCCAAGGGGAGTAAAGGGGGGATGCTGCATAGCCAACTGGTGAAGCTTGGTCAACTGCAGGGCAGGATGGGAAATTAGAACTAACCAATCAAATGGAATTATTTCAGAGCAGAGAAACCATCTTACGTGTTCTAAAACTGGATTAATTAAAATTATATTGAAAAAAAAGGTTTAATCATTCATTCTAATCTACTGTAGAGAAAAAAAATACAACCCAAACTTGTTATAAATGACATCTCTACTGTTATTACATGTAATGGCTATTGTTAATATTAACTAATTACTGTAGAATTACATATTAAAAGAACTCAAATACATCACATGCAAAGAAGAACCAAGATAACTGTCATTTGTTCCTGGGCCATTGTACTTTCTAGCAATTATTACAGAAGGTAAGAGGTGCAGCTGAGCTAACACTTGGCTATACAGTGTGTTGTTCAGGAAATGTGTCCTTAGGCCATGTCTTTATTGCTAACTGTAGAAAGCACATGCTGCCCAGAACAAATAAGAGGGAGAGGAACAAAAAGGGAGTAATTTACATGTGCTGGACTCACGTCTGGATGAGGGATGGCATACTGCCCCTGAATCGTGAACGCCTGAAAACAACAAGCACAGGTAAGATACAGGTTAGTCAGGTGGGACAAGCAGTTTTCTGTACTCATCAGAAAAGCTCCTCCTGCCCCGCCCCAGGCAGATGCCACCTGCATTGCTTTCAACACTGAGTGAAGCTTAATTGTCTTGTGCTGCTTGATGACTTTTGGCATGGCACAGAAAAAGGTCTCTGTCAGACTGTCCATGTATCCCTTGCAAGCAGAGGGTGCCAAGTGCTGCTGCCTGAGTGCGGGTAACCTTGGTGCTCAGGATCTCTTTTTAGTCCAGCTCTGTCTGCCAGGAGCAGAGCTGGGGACACTAAGGGGGTCAAGGAGCAAAGGGGGTGGCCACTTCCCCTCCCTGCTACCTCGTCTGCCCAGTGACACCAACGCACGTAGGGAAATGCTGATACTGAAGCTGCAAGGGGCACAGTGACCTGCCCAGGGGATGCCCTGCCATCCAGCTCCTGAGTGCCATGTGTGTGCACAGACAGTGCCAGCCAGCTCTGAGCCACCTTGTCTGGCTATCGACAGACACAGGTGCTAAGTGCCAGCAGATGTGCTCTGGTGCACCTCACAGGGCTCACACCCCAGGCTGCCACACCAGTGGGTACGTGAGCACGTGCTGGATGGCAGCCTGTCCTGCAGTGCCTGGGCACAGGGCCAGCACCCCTGTTTGGAGATAGGAGCATGATGGAGATCCCAGAGTGGTGGTCTATCTTCCCCAAAAAGCCAAATACCCTCCCTCCAAATCTAGCTATTCTGCAGCACAAGAGCAGTGCAAGGAGTGTAGTTTCCAGCATCACTTCTGTCAGCACTGGGGTGAAGTGGGAGAGGCAAAAAAATCACTTGAGTGAGGAGGATATGGTGGCATGCCTGGCACCGGTTAGCACAGCCCTTTGTCTCTCCTGCTGGCTCTGTTCAACTCTCTGTAGTGGCCTACAAATAACAAACTACAGAGTTTATGGTTCTCTATTATATCAAGTACAGCTTTTCCGAAAGGAATGGCATGTCAGAAAAATTTTAATGTGCTTATGCTTAGACAGGCAAGAAAGCAGAAGGACAAATTATAACATATAAATATTTGTAGTGGGAGAATTATAAACAGGAACAGAGCTGATTAGCTTAGTTTGCAAAATGCTTATTTGACAAAAGGCCTCTTAGAAAGTAATGAATCCTCTGCAAATGATAAAACAATTCATTTAATGGAGTTTGGATATTAAAACCTTTAATGTCTCAACTGCTTGATGCACATTTTTGCAGCAGAATTTCCCTTCTGGAGAAGAAACATTTCATTTAGTTTTTAAATTAGTTGTAAAGCCAGGCTGTAATTTGGCAAACATTATGCACGAGCAGTTTTCAGACAGAAATGTGTGAGACCAGGCTCTGTGGGATACTGGTGGGCAAACATATTCACATGCATCTACAGGGGATGGCTGCCACTGACAGTTTATGTATCATAAGAAGAGGTTCAAGTCCACCAAAACAGGTGATCATTGCCATCAGTGAGTCTTAAGGAAGCATGTATTCAAGCAAGCAAAATGTGTTTATCTGTTTTATTGGATGAGGACAACCTGAATGGGGGCTCTGTGCTTAGCCAAGCATAGGAGCAGCCTCAGGGAGGTTATAGCTGGAAACAGTGCTGGGTCCATGAGCAAACAGCAGGTTTGTAAACCATGCTTTGGTGTCTGAGCCTCTGTGCTGGATTACAAGTGTCCTTTCTGGTCTCAGCTTTACTTCAAACTCAGCTGAGAGAACATCTTTTGCATAGGTGCTTCCCAAGCAGTGGTCTGAAAACCAGCAAGAAACCACCACAAAAAATCACCAGTGAACCTAATAGGAGTCTCTCCTTTCCTCATCACTCTGCTCTCCAATGGTTCCATCTATGTATACAAGGAAGCAAACAAACTAGAGAAAGAGCAAAATAAAAAACATTCAGTGCTCAGACTAGCTTTTACTTGGTTGTCAATGAAAACCATCAAAGCAGCATGGACAAGATGGGTTTTGAATTTTCTTTCCCAGGTAAAAAAAATGCTCTTAATTTCTTAAGCTCCCAAAAGGTACTTTGATTGATTTAGGTTAAGAAAAAAGGTCCTTGACTGCTTTACCCCATAGCATGGGAACCACGCATTTCGGGGGCTAAGGCATACTTCAGCACAAGCCTGGTAGAGGCTATTGTCACATCTGTCCTGTAACATTTCACTGAGGACATGAGCTATGGATCTGCTTCCATCAAAGTCAAAGGCAACTTTCCCACTGACGTAAGTAACAGCAGGGACGACCTGGTCTACAGATCTTCCACAATTTAAACCCTAAAACTGCTATGACACATAAAGCCAAGTTGCACCTGTGAGTACCCACCAAGACACCAATGCACCATACTGGGTAGAAATTTCCAATTTATCCACTGCATGCACTGGTATTGGTAAGGGACAGAGCAGGGCAGTGTTCAGTTTCCTTTTAGTTTTGTCATGCAATACAGTATCAAAGAAGCACAAGAGAATTAAAAGCAATGCTTAAAGTGGAAGAACCCCAACTTGTCAAGGAAAAACAGACATTTTATTTTGCTTATGTTGCTTGATATGCAAGTATTAAACAAACCAAAACCTTTCAACATAGTCATGACATAATTTAGAATAGAAAAATAACTTCTGATAGTAGAGCTAAAAGGTTGGATGGAATTAATAGTGCTGATAAAATTTTATTTTCAGTATTAATCTCTACTTATGAAACTTGGTTAAAGTATCTTCATACTGATATCCAAACACTGCTTAAGCATTAATAATCTTAAAATATCTTAAAAAGCCTGCCTAGTTAGAGCATGCAGAAAGTGCCTTTCTCACATCAACACAGTTGCATTAGAAAAGTGAGAACACTTTTTAAACTGGTAAAACTGAAGACGACAAGAGTATTAGACCTGAAAATAGGACACTTTCAATTATTTATACAAACTGCTCAAAGCACTCTAGCAAACAGTTTCAATACTTTTGAGTAATCAGACAGTCTTTGAAGGCAATGGCAATTACAATCCTGGTAGAATAGGTTGCTATATGTATACACAAATATTTCTTAAAGGAAAGCACTGCAGTGTAAACATATGTATGGAGTAAATTTCTCTGTACTTTCAGCCATAGACCAATTTCTGACAAGTTATTTCAAATTTCCATTCAACTTTGGTCACTAAGGAAGCAGGCTTCTTATTTTGAAGACAACTAAGAGTGTTAGGCTTGAACATGAGGAAAGCTACTACATCCAGATTATGAAAACCTGGATATACATCACAACGCATTGTTACAGACTAAAAGGTAAAAATCAGACAAAAATTCAGAGAAAGTTCATGACATGGGCCCATCAGAAGCAATGGTGTTTTGGCATATGCTTGAGAAGTTCAGGAACTTTCTTATATACCAGCAGATTGTGGTGTCATGGGTCGATGTACCAACAATAACAGCAGCACCTTGTGTCCTCAGCCCCACCAGGAACCCTGTGTCCAGCTGCTCATATGACCTTCAAATTATCTAGTGTGGGACATGGACTCAAGGGCTGCTGTGTCATCACCCCATGACAGGGTGATGACCTGGGATGGGCTGATGGGATGGGAGATGGGACCTGCCTGCAGGTGTTCCAACATGCAGGTGAGTAGATGTCTAACTACTTAAAGAGAGGCCTTGGCATCACCTTGGGGAAAAAATTGTCTGGGTGGAGGTTCCTTACTGCCAGAGAGGCTTTGCATATGTGAATCCTGAGTAGAGATGGCTGCCTTCCTCTAGGACATGTTTAGAAGATCAATTTCTCCTTGAGGTGGGCAGGGCTTGAACTCCTTTCACTCCTCCACCACTGCTCTCAGCCTGGTAGTTATTCAGGTCCCCTTGTGAGCCTCCCATGGTGCTTCTAGAGTACAGATGTGTTCATCACTGGCTCATCACTGGCTAAAGATGCACTC